GTTCGCTTCAGGATTGCTCGACAATGATGACTTTGCCGAGTCTGCCAGGAGCTGTTTCAACTGGTCAAGCTGCGCAGCCGTGAGCCCTGAAAACGAGCTCGTCTCAGGTTCAACGTGAGCAGCTCTCGGCTGAGCTTCACTGCGCTGCTGCCTTGGCTTGTTCGAACGATCACCCTGTCGTGATTTTGGGAGATCTGGCGGATACCCATGAAGTTTATAGCATGTATCCACCGTATGGCCAAGCTTATGACAATGGGTGCAGCGAGGCTTGTCTCTTGTGTCCCGTTCAGAACGCCCCTGCTCGCCATTTGCCAAAAAAGTCGTTGCCTCTACAACCGGACGTCGCCCAGCCGTTATGTTGCGTTGCTGTTCCTCAGTGGACACAGCCTGGTAGGCATCTGCTAGAGTAGGCGTAGGTCTCATGCTTAGCAATTGAGTTCTGAAGACGGCGAAAACGTCATCCAGTCCCATAAGGAACTCAAAAAGGTGCTCCATCTCGGTCTTCTCACGTTGTCGCCGCGGCAAGTCACACTTGCAGCCTCCATAAGTGCAGCCATCGCACTTGCAATACGGGTCAGGATTAACGGCTTGCATCTCGTCCCAATAGGTGCGGAGACGCGTGTAGAATGCAGAAATAGTGAGCTTCTCCTGCCGGGTTCCATTTATCAAACGCCGAAGCTCGTATGCGCGCGGCGTTGCTCCTTTGCCGAACCTCTTCTCAAGGTCGGACCAGATTTCCCTCGCCGTGAGAGCCGAGCGAACGCTGTTGCGGACCTCCTTGGTCATCGCCGTCTTGAGCCAACCCTTCACGGTGGCATCACAACGTGCCATGCATCAGTCGTCTCCTTATTTCCAGCCATTGACTTCGGTAACGTTCCATCAACAAAGGCCATCTTGTTCTTAGCGATAAGAACTTCGGTCATGTCATTCACCCACTCTCCGTAATTAGAATCCATGAGCAGGTCACTCCCAAAAAATTGGGCGGGGTTCTCAGACGGATAAAGGAACAGCGGCGAGTTCAATGGGATAGCCTCTGCGCCGGCATCAGCAGTACCGGACGTCATACCTCCCTTCTCGTCGTCCTTTGCCATCACAAGAGAACTGCAAGAAAATCCCTAGAGCGAAGCCCGCTCTGATACCATGTAAAATAAACGAATGTGGAAGCAAAGTAAACACACGACACAGTGATTTTACGTGGTTCTTGTCATCCAGGATGGATGACCTTACTCCAGGGAGAAGGCAATCTCAAGCTCTTATTTTCATTTGCTGCTGTATATGTGCCGCAGGTTATGTTCTTGGCAGCCGCACAAGAGGCTAGCCTATTTATATGCCCAGCAACACAAGTCTCTAGGGCAAAAGAAAGGAAAAATACAAAAAGGTACTACATGTTCTGAAGTACAAAAATAACACTCTTAACACTATACCATGAGGAAAAGCTAGGCAAGTAAAATTTTCTTTCTTCCCGAATAATGAGCTCTCCTAGTTGAATGGTGTCATTATTCCCACCAACCACTCCACAATTATATCTTCTCATAATCCCTCCACGTGGTTGTAATGGCAGGTGTTGCAATGCCACCATTTCTCATCTCCCTCCAGTAAATAAAGTTATATAGTCATTCAATTTATTTACCATTTACAAATAAAACAGGTGGTGGATTAAGGGTACATATACACCAAACGATCAACTCACTATCTGCCAACACGTAGTAAAAGCAAGAGATGAGAGGTGAATATGTCCACCATTAATTAGTTAATTGGATCCAATTTTCCTCCACCAATCATCACTCAACTTTTCTTCTTTCTCCAACCAACACATATCACCCAATTCTACTTCTTTCCCACGTGGCCAAGATGAGCAAGGGAGAGTATAGATTTGTCATCGGGTTGGATCCGGTCCTTAAACTTCATTGTTTAAGAAGGTTCTTAAACCATTTTTATTGGCTGATACTAGATTAGGTAGTTAATGAGGGGTTAGTAGTTAATAGTTAGTTGGACTTAATAAGATATTATGAAAATATAATTAATATTACTCATTAATGATTCTATTTTTCTCCCCCCTTGATCTTCTCCATAACCCTCTCTTTCCACTACAATTAAAAGGAAATTTGAAATTAATTTAATTAGATATTATTATTTAATATTTAATAAATTCGAACTTAATATTTTTATTTTTTATTTTTTAAAATGAAAATTGAAATTAAAAATATATTCTCTCTCACTTTGTGGCAACTTGCAATACAGTATTAACATTTTGCAATGACATTATCAACATTTATGAAATGAATCGTTATTATTATATCTCATCATTATTAACGACTTCAATATACTTATCAATTCCTTACAATTACATTATTAACAATTTTGGATCAATTGTTACTGTTTTATAGTTTTGTCATCAACGCCTATGAATGAATCATTAAAGTTATGTAACATAGTCATTTATAGTTTTAATAACAATATCATTGATTTACAACATCTTTAGTACTAATGATTCACATTTTCACATCATGTTTATAACTATCTAGTCATGGTCTCTTCCAATGATTTCTAATGACATTAGTAACGTTTTATGATCAATTAATATTGATTTACATTATCATTGTCGGTGATCATAAAGCACAATACTAATTTTCAACATCTTGGCGTACTTGTGACATAGTGCACCTGTGTGATTCAGTCAAACAAACATTGTCTAGAAAAATATTAGCTCAAGTAAACCAACATTCACGCCTCAATATCAAACTTTTAATAACAATACAATAAATCATTGATAACGAAAAGTATTTCGTTGAAAATAAACACAAAACATCAATGTAAAATGTCCCACTTCAACCTTATAAATGACATCAAACTTTTAATAAAGATATTAAAAACCATTAATATCGAATGATCAAGTCACTGATAAGGAAATAGATTTTTGCAATATAAAAATATTAATAATATTCAGATGCAATGTTTAATGTCAAATAGCACTAAAACCGCATTAATAAGTAACATGTGTTTAATGGATAATGCATCCAAAAACTTTGATAATGATAACAACTAATGATTGTTAAGTATCTTATTAGATATTATTAATATCTTATTTTCAAACATTGATAATGCTTATAAACACCTATTAATAATGACACCAAACTAATTTACTAACTTAGACTTAAAGATTAACAACCATACTTATATCATTAAACGTAAATTAACTTTTGATAATGTCATAAACAAACGAATATCTAACAAGTATGCTTCTTGATAGTGACATTTGACAAAGTTACAAACATAAAAGAAAAAATATTAAATAATTCAAATCACTAAGCATAAGCAATCTTACATATGAATTAAATTTTTGCTAATGGTTGTATTGTGCTTGGAAATAAATATTGATGATATAGCACTTCAAATGATTATAAATCATTGCGAACCAAATTTGGTAGTGGCCTGGATTTCCACTTATGGGGACAATTGGAAGAATGATGGGTAAGTAATATGAAAGGGTGCCTGGGTTTCTATTTAATCTAGGGAAGGATGGGTAGCTGAACAAATGAGCAACTCTTTCTATTTATAGAGTTTGGTTACTAACAGGGATCTCTTATCACCCTATTAGTAGGGGGCAATTGATAGACCCCTATCAAGTTAACCACCCACCTATCCTACACTAGCAACTAATCACCACTCATCGAACCATTTTAACCTGGACAAGGGATGGAGAAAGATGGGTTGCTACCACTTAAAATTCCACGTGGAGGGACTCTTTCTCCCCCATTAATTAATGACTCACCATGCCTAGGCTAAGCCTACCCTATTATCCTCCCCTCCACCCCACCAAACCATCATCTCCTCTAAATCCACGTATGACAAAGTTGGCAAGGTGGCAAATAATCCCACCCCTATTCTTTACCCCATGCATGAGCAATAACCTATCATTTCCCCACCTCATGCCATCAATTAACACGTAATAGCTAGCTAATTATGCTTTGCTTGATGGGTGGAGAATTTACCCCAACATATTGACAACAAACCTCCCACGTCCAAATTACACGTGGATAAGTGTACTATCCACCCATGAACCATTTCACTAACCCAAATCTCCACCAATTTCATTACATGCTTGCCATCCATGCATACATACAATGCCAATTACACGTGTATGCATGAATTGATAATTAACTAAGTAATTTCCACCAATCAACACTTTAATTCCACTCCATCCAATTCCATACTTCTACACGTGTAAACCAATGTGAGCTTGGGCATTATCTTGTGCTGGTAGTCATGATACGCATACAAGCATGCACCCACGTCCGAGTTAATTTCCCAAACCTTCAATTAATTTGTCAATTCAATTTGTTTATTAATGATTAATAAAAGGAAACACCACCCACGCCAGGAGCAGGAGACGCCTATAAATAGGTAACTCAACTCTGTATTCTCGGCAATCCATCTCAAATCGAGAGAACTCACTTTCTCTAAACGAGATCGGAAAAGGGGAATTCCGAAGAACTTCTTCTCGGCGAATTGGCAACTTCCAACCCTGAAATTTCTTTTTCTTTCTTCCTAGAGCCGGCTCAATATGCCCCTCCCGGTTATTTCCAAATACTTATTTGAGCTTTGGAGAAGGTCCCAGCCGACCACAACCGGCAGGTCCTTTTTTGCAGGTGTTCATCTCGAGAGCTGGAATTCAACGGCAACCAAAAGGTCAACGCTCTCCGGACTCTACAACGTTCGAGGTCGGCTATTTTAGCTTGGCATCAACAATTGGCGCCCACCGTGGGGCCCGGTGAGATTACTACCTACAGATTGCCAATTCAACCAGTCGAGATGGATACAACAGATTCACAACTGCAAGTTGACATCGGTCAAGGTTCAAGTCCAACCCTGAGCAAACTCTGCCATCCCAAAGGGTTGAAGATTTGCAGGCTAAAATTGAGCGACTTAGTGCTCAGATTCGGTCTGCAACGGAGGCTCCACAACCACCACCGGTCTCTCTACCAACTTTCTACGGGAGTATGGGACTCCCTGGATCCTCTAACGACCATCGGAATGGCATACCGGCAGCAACTGAAGCAGTAGACCGGGATGTTTTCCCAGTTGTTCCTAACATCGAAGAACTCCCTCCCGCAGGGACATTTTCTCAACCAAGTACCGGTCGGCCCCTGGCTTTGGCCATTCTAAATGATCCATACCCGGGAAATATCCATATACCCAACCTTCCGGAGTACAATGGCACCACCGACCCAGAAGATCATCTCAGTTCCTTTGAGATTTTGATGCCGCTTATTGGTGCCTCTGATGCCACCATGTGCAAAATATTACCCGCCACTCTTGGAGGAGATGCTCGTCAATGGTACTCTCAGCTTCACAATGGTATCATCAACAACTTCACCGAATTTTCCACACTATTCCGGTGCAAGTTTTACGCCCAAAAGCGACAGGCAGTGAGCATTAATCAACTCATGAATACCAAGCAACGAGAGGGTGAGGCTTTAAAAGCCTATTATGCTAGGTACAACACCTTGGCTATAGGCGTCACTTCCCTCTCTGTTGAAGTAATTGTCAACACGCTGACACGAGGAACAACAAACAGTCTTCTCCGGGCTTCCCTCATCAAGAAACCTCCTCGGAGTATGTTTGAGCTACAAGTGCGAGTCATGAAATACATCGGTCTAGAAGAAGCTTTACAAGATTCCTCCTATGTGGTGCCAAAGCGTAGGAGGGATTCGCCTCCGTCGAACCGAGAAACTTTACAACGCCCCCGCCCAACTTTGGATAACATGGCCAAGACTCAAAAAGATGATCGCAGAAGGGATGGACCATTCCATTCAGGCCAAAATTTTACCCCACTCAACAATCCACGGAGGACTGTTCTCCAGGTCATTCAAGATAAAAAGCTTCCGGTGACATGGGCACCTCGAGGCCGCATAAAACCAAGAAAAGGAAAGAATCAATTTTGTGACTTTCATCGGGGATACGGGCATGACACCGAGCAATGTGAAAAGTTGGGAAGATCCATCGAGGGACTGATTCAAAATGGACAACTTAAGCAGTTCATCCAAAGCTCCAAAGGCCCTGACTCGCTATAACACAACTCCTAACAAAGGCCAAGTGTAACCAATGGAAAGGACTGCAGTATAGTGGCTCAAGTGATAAATATCGAATCCACGGGTCTCTAGAGTTACTATTACTCAACTTCAGTTTATTATTTAGCAAACCAGATTAAGATGAAAGAACTAAAACTACTCTAGCAAACTACAGTTAAAGTTAATCTAATTACAGGTTGGGAACTCACTTAGGTATGATTCCCCCTAGCCACTAGCCAGACTAACGATTGATGATTTCCAACTTGTTTCACTTTCATTCACAATGCGGAGAATCCTTGAGTAGACCTTGAGTCTCGACTAAAGGAACAAGGCCCTCTTGAGTCAATTGCCTAGAGGGACGTATCCTTCTCTAGAACAACTGATCAAGGCGTTCTGAACTAGAATCCCTCTATCGAAAGAGGTTCTCAATCGATACAAAGCAGTGAATCAACCCTCGACTAAAGCAATCGATCCACTACTATCAATCTATGGTGCTCTATTGACCTAATCAGGTATTCCCTCTCATAGAATCAAAGCAAAATCAATAATCTCGACTAAAGCAGAATTGAATCATGAAAACATGCATAGATTGAATATGAACTCAAGATTATCCAGTCAGAGTACTCATACAATCATCCAATCAAACAAACATAGCTAGGGTTCCTCAAAACCTAAGTGAAGGGAAGTTACTCCATAGAGAAGAGAGAGACTGCAGTAAGAATCTTCAGATGATCAGTCTTCAAGTCCGGACTTGTTCCTCGAGCTTCCAAGGCGAAGAAATCCTCCAACTCCACTCCAAGAATGCCCTCAAATCTCCCTCTCTCTCTTTGGTTCGTCCCTTGGGTGTTTGGGATCCAAAACCCAGCTCCCTTTCTCCTTTGGCTCGAATTTGCGTTAAAAAACCTGATTCTGGGCAAAACACGGTCGAGGGCACGGCCGTGGTTTGCTTTTGACCGCCCGTGTTTTGCCCCGTGTTAAAAACACGCCCGCACGCGTTGGCCAAAACACGGTCGTGCCTAAATATGGGCACGGCCGTGTTTTGATTTAGGCGCGCCCGTGTTTTTACTGCTGAACCTGTTCCCCTATTTTCAATGCTTCGTTTCTCCCTCGTCCGGACTCCGAATCAGTCGCCGTTTGATCCCAGACGCTCGTAGTCTCGTCCTCTTTCTTTTAATGACAAGCTTGCATGATTCTTTGTCCATAAAGTGAGGTAGAAATCCATTCTTCTTCAGGTCATGCCCGAGTTTCTTCTCCCGAATCGCCAATTGATCTCTGATTGACTTGAAACTTGCGCCTATGCTTCACTTTATGTGCTAGGACCTGAAATGTGACAAAGGAACACAACCTAGCATAAAATAGGCCAAAGACGCGCTAATTAAAGCTCAAACGATCAAGAAACAAAGGGGAAAACATGTGCAAATATCGAGTCATCAAATCCCCCCACACTTAACCGTTTGCTTGTCCCCAAGCAAACCTAACTCAAACCAATGCAGCTCTCCAGACCTCTATAGCAACATGCACCCTCGATCCTTGATAGAGGATTTTCTAGATCATTTAGCAGCTTACGAGGTCAACCGACGCACAAGTCATCTCATAGCTTCTTCGGCGAGAACGCTAGTCTCGAGTCGGCATCATGGCAAATAGTGAACAGAGGACAAATGAATCGTGGACAAAGAGACTCTAAAAAAAAAGATCATGGACTCACATTTTTCAAGGTGCTCTTATTTTCTTTTTGAAGACGGTTGGAACCCCTTTTCTTTCTGTTTTGCTTGTTTTCTGTTATTTTTCCTTTTCTTTTTTTTTCAAGGGTCCCAACCTGCTTTTCAGAAAATGGGGGCTCCCACCTAGCAGAGGTTTTGCGGGAGCCCGGCTCTTACCGGCCATGCCAGGAGCGGGTGTCTCGAGCCTCGTGCGGGGGAAAGACATGTAAGGGGGCTGGAGGTAGTAGGTGAAAATTGGGAACGAATTCCCGTCTCCCCTTACACACTTTCTCCCTATTCGCACGGGAGACGTTGTTTTAAAGAACATTATCGAGCACCTTTTATTTCAAAACATGATACAGGAGTCCATGACAGGCATAGAGTCCACAACACCACACAATTCAAGGGTCCTAAGATCACTAATTCACATAATCAACCAACACAATATGAAGAAGAAATGAGACTTCTTAAATGCATCAACATCCTCCATAGTGCTACACTACCTCCCTAGGTTGCATATTACTATAAAGACTGTCAATTCAAAGCATACTGAGCAGGCAATTGCAAGGAAAACGTACTTGGAGCCCTCAAATCGAAATTTGGACAGTGGACTAGGCTCCAAGCACACAAACAGCCAAACATTCACACGCATTCATAATCGAACATCCCCCCACACTTAAGCACGACATTGTCCTCAATGGAGGAAAGATAAGGAGGGTAGAACGAAGTTACCATATCAACGGTGAATGATTGTGGACGGGGAAGGCGGTGCATTCCAGGAGGACAAAGTAGTCGAAACACAAACACCACACAAAATCTCACAAAGGTTGAATTATTGACTCTGAAATCAAAGAACAAAACTGACTCAACCGAAGAGAAATAGAGAAAGAAATGCAAACCGACTGGTTGAGTTGCCTCCCAACAAGCGCTTCTTTCACGTCGTGAGCCGGACGATGGCTACTAAATTTCGGTCCATGCTAGAACCTCCTTGAAGTTGAGGTTCTCGTCGATGAGGTGGAGTCTCAAGTCACGAGCATGTGGTGTGGCAGGTGATGAAGGCTCATGTACTTGATGCAGATGAAGTCTCCACCCTCGAGACCTCTTCTTCTCTTCTCTCGTCTCATTGCCCCAAACCAGATATGACAACATCGATTGGCCACCATCGCGTCCACCAAGAGGGACCGATGTCGAGGTGGCCTTGGTCTGGCAAAGAGACACTGCAAATGGGTCCTTGCTAAGCAGTTCCTCGAAGTTTGGTGGAGATATCACCTGTAACTCATGGCCGGTGCAAGCCTCTTCCACCTCAACTTCGTCCTCAGCCTGGACGCCAATTGCTTCTTCAACCTCCCTTCCTTCTTCATGTGGTATCACCCCTGGGAAATGATCAAGAACTCCTCCTGCTTCACTTTCGTCATCCTCCACAACTTCTTTCTGCACCCTTTCTTGCTCTTCTTCTTCTAGCACGGATTGGAGAGCAAGTTGCCAAGCAATTTCTTTCATGAGATCTTCTTGCATCTCCTCACTCATGCCCGCCTCTTCAAAGCTCAGTTTGGGGTGTGGGAAGGTGTGGTCGGCTACGACAGGACACTCCTGATCATGATCATCACGGGAGCTCTCCGTGACAACTTCAGTGTGCTCCAAAATGTCCTTGTAGCCTTCTTCTTCCTCCTCATCTTCTCTTATGGTAGCAGAATGGTGATCTGGAGCAGGTTGCGCCCAAGATCGCTCAAGATCATCGACGCTCTTCTTAAGGCTCAGGAGGATCCCCTCTGTTTCACGATAGGCCTGGACACAATGATCCATACTGGAGCATAATCTCTCCATGAGAAGCCTCAAATCAAAGTGTGGATCTGGCTGTGGAGTGTAGCATGGCTCTGCAGAATGGCCCGTGAAGGCCGCCATGGGTAACTCCAGCTCCAATGGCTCTTCTGGTTGTGGGAGAAATTCTTCTTGGTAATGAGGTTGTTCTTGATATGCCCAGGGGTCCGGTTGTTCTCCGTAGTAAGGGGGTTGGTACTGGAACCCGAATCCATAGTCTTCTCCGCCATGATTGCTCCACGGAGTCTCGGGGTAATACCACCCAGATGGTGGTGGATACCCCCAATGATTGGAGAAGCCATGAGGATCCATGATTCAGATCTGCACCAACAAAAACAAAAACACCCAAGTGAAAAGCAAGGGTGGAAAAGAAAAGAAACGAAAAACGCTAAAGTAACAAACTTCTGCATTTCCTAATACTCTAGAAAGTCCCCGGCAACGGCGCCAAAAACTTGACTCGCTATAACACAACTCCTAACAAAGGCCAAGTGTAACCAATGGAAGGGACTGCAGTATAGTGGCTCAAGTGATAAATATCGAATCCACGGGTCTCTAGAGTTACTATTACTCAACTTCAGTTTATTATTTAGCAAACCAGATTAAGATGAAAGAACTAAAACTACTCTAGCAAACTACAGTTAAAGTTAATCTAATTACAGGTTGGGAACTCACTTAGGTATGATTCCCCCTAGCCACTAGCCAGACTAACGATTGATGATTTCCAACTTGTTTCACTTTCATTCACAATGCGGAGAATCCTTGAGTAGACCTTGTGTCTCGACTAAAGGAACAAGGCCCTCTTGAGTCAATTGCCTAGAGGGACGTATCCTTCTCTAGAACAACTGATCAAGGCGTTCTGAACTAGACTCCCTCTATCGAAAGAGGTTCTCAATCGATACAAAGCAGTGAATCAACCCTCGACTAAAGCAATCAATCCACTACTATCAATCTATGGTGCTCTATTGACCTAATCAGGTATTCCCTCTCATAGAATCAAAGCAGAATCAATAATCTCGACTAAAGCAGAATTGAATCATGAAAACATGCATAGATTGAATATGAACTCAAGATTATCCAGTCAGAGTACTCATACAATCATCCAATCAAACAAACATAGCTAGGGTTCCTCAAAACCTAAGTGAAGGGAAGTTACTCCATAGAGAAGAGAGAGACTGCAGTAAGAATCTTCAGATGATCAGTCTTCAAGTCCGGGCTTGTTCCTCGAGCTTCCAAGGCGAAGAAATCCTCCAAATCCACTCCAAGAATGCCCTCAAATCGCCCTCTCTCTCTTTGGTTCGTCCCTTGGGTGTTTGGGATCCAAAACCCAGCTCCCTTTCTCCTTTGGCTCGAATTTGCGTTAAAAAACCTGATTCTGGGCAAAACACGGTCGAGGGCACGGCCGTGCTTTGCTTTTGACCGCCCGTGTTTTGCCCCGTGTTAAAAACACGCCCGCACGCGTTGGCCAAAACACGGTCGTGCCTAAAT